TGCAGCAGCAGCACTCGGAGATGCTGGCCAAGCTCCACGAGGAGATCGAGCACCTGAAGCGGGAGAACAAGGGTGAGCCGGGCAGGACCCAGGCCAGCGCTTCCTCCCCAGCACCCCGAACGCCGCCGCCCCCGCAGTGCAGAAACACAGCCGTGAACTCCAGCACAGGCCCGGGCTCGGGGACACGGGACAGACCCCAGCACAGGACTCGAACGCGCCGCCGCCCGCAGTGCAGAAACACAGCCGTGAACTCCAGCACATGGGCCCGGCCTGGGACACGGGACAGACTCCCAGCACAGGTCCGCTCGGGACACGGGACAGACTCCTGGCACAGGTCCGGGGCTCGGGACACGGGGATGATCTCAGCACAGGCCCGGGCCTGGGACACGTGGACAGACCTCAGCACACGCCCGGGCCTCGGGACACGGGCGACCTCAGCACAGGTCCGGGCCTCGGGACACGTGGGCCAGACCCCAGCACAGGTCCGGCCTGGGACACGGGACAGACTCCGGCACATGGCCCGGGCCTGGGACACGGGACAGACTTCCAGCACACGCCCGGCCTCGGGGACACGGGACAGACTCAGCACACGAGCCTGCCACGGGGACACGGGACAGACTCCAGCACAGGCCCAGGCTCGGGACACCGGACACACTCCAGCACAGGCCCGGGCTCGGGGACAATGGGACAGACTCCAGCACACCACTGGGCTCGGGGACACGTGGGACAGACCTATAACAGTGCGCCCGGCTCGGGACAAGGGACAGTCTCCAGCACGCCTGGTCTGGGGACACGGGACAGACTCCAGCACACGCCCGGCTCGGGACACGGGACAGACTCCACAGGCCTGGGCTCGGGGACACGGGACAGACTCAGCACAGGCCTGGGCCTCGGGACACGGGACAGACTCCAGCACACGCCCGGGCTCGGGACAGACAGTTCCCAGAACACGCCCCGGGCTCCGGGGACACAGGACTCCAGCACACGCCGGGCTCGGGACACAGGATAGACTCCACAGGTCCGGGATCGGGGGACACGGGACAGACTCCAGCACAACGCCCGGCTCGGGACACGGACAGACTCTGAGCACAGCCGCCCGGGCTGGGATTACCGGGACAGACTCCTGGCACAGGTCCGGGATCGGGGACACGGACAGACCTCAGCACATGGCCCGGGCCTGGGACACGTGGGACAGACTCCAGCACAGGCTCCGGGGCTCGGGGACACGGGACAGACTGCAGCACAGGCCCGGCTCGGGGACACGGGACAGACTGCACACGCCCGGCTCGGGGAAGAATGGACAGACTCCCAGCATAAGGCCCGGGGCCTGGGACAATGGACAGACCTGGCACAACCCGGGCTCGGGACACGGGGACAGACTCCAGCACACGCCCGGCTCCGGGACAAGGACAGTCTCCAGCACACCGTGGCCCTGCACAATGGGACAGACTCCAGCACACGCCCGCCCGTATCACCTACGAGACCCAAGGTTACCAACCCCACCTGGGACATTGGGACAGACTTGTGCATATGGCCTGGGTTTGGGACACGGGATAGATTGAGGCATACGCTGTTTGGATAAGGACAGTTCTGCACACGCCCGGGCTCCGGGACACGTGACAGACGGTGGCCACGCCTGCCTGGGACACGGGACAGACTTGCACACGCCCGGGGCTGGGGACACGACAGACTCCAGCACACGCCCCGGGCTTTGGGACACGGGACAGACTCCAGCATACGCCTGGCCTCGGGACAAGGACAGTCTCCAGTGCACACGCCCGGGTCTGGGACAGCAGGATCGAGCACACGCCTGGCTCGGGACACAGGATGACTCCAGCAGGCGGCCCGGCCTGGGACACGTGGGACAGATTCCAGCACACGCCCGGGCTCGGGGACAATGGGACAGACTCCCAGCACACGCCTGGGTCTGGGACACGGGACAGGACTCTGCACACGCCCGTCTGGGACAATGGACAGACTCTGTGCACACGCCTGGGTTCGGGACACTGGACAGGACGAGGCACAGGTCCGGGGCCTGACACGGGATAGATCTGTGCACACGCCCGGGTTCGGGACACGGGACAGACTCCAGTACACGCCTGCCTGGGACACGGGACAGTTCTCCAGCATACTCGGCTTGGGACACAGACAGACTCCAGCACACGGCCTGGTTCGGGGGACACGGGACAGACTCCAGCACAGGTCCGGGCTGGGATACACGGGACAGACTCCAGCACAGGTCCGGGCTCGGGACAGCAGGACAGACTCCCAGCACACGCCCGGGTTCGGGAATGGACAGACTTCCAGCACATGGCCTGGGCCTGGGACACAGGACAGTCTCAGCACACCCGGGCTTGGGGACACGGGACAGACTCCAGCACACGCCCGGGTTCAGGGGGACACAGGACAGTCTCCAGCACACGCCCGGCCTGGGACACAGGACAGACTCCAGCACACGCCAGGGCCTGGGGACACGACAGACTCCAGCACACTCACCCGGTCTGGGACACATCGACAGACTCTGCACACGCGCCGGCCTCGGGACACGACAGACTCTGCGCCACACGCCCGGGCCCGGGACACAATGACAGACTCAGCACACCGCCCGGTCTTGGGGACACACGACAGACTCCAGCACACGCCCGGCCTGGACATGGGACAGACTCCAGCACACGCCTGGGCTCGGGGACACGGGACAGACTCCAGCACACGCCTGGGCTCAGGGACACGGGACAGACCCCAGCACAGGTCCGGGCTCGGGGAGACACAGGACAGACTCCAGCACATGCCCGGGCTCGGGGGGACACAGGACAGACTCCAGCACACGCCCGGGCTCGGGGGATCACAGGACAGCAAGACCGCCCCGGGTCCTGCCATGCCGAGCTGTCCCCTCCTCCCGGAGGGAGACCCGCGTGGCCCTGGGCAGTGCCGACCCTGTCTGCCTGTCTCCTGGGGCAGCATCATTTCAGCTGCTGACTCGGCCAGTCCTCTTCTCTCCAGGCAGGGTCAGACCCACCTGTTAAAAACTTTATAGAGGGGGCTGGGCGCGGTGGCTCAGGCCTTAATCCCAGCACTTTGGGAGGTCGAGGCGGGTGGATCACGAGGTCAGGAGACCGAGACCATCCTGGCAAACACGGTGAAACCCCGTCTCTACTAAAAAAATACAAAAAATTAGCCAGGCGAGGTGGCAGCACCTGTAGTCCCAGCTACTCGGGAGGCTGAGGCAGGAGAATGGCGTGAACCCGGGAGGCGGAGGTTGCAGTGAGCCGAGATCGCGCCACTGCACTCCAGCCTGGGCGACAGAGCGAGACTCCGTCTCAAAAAAACAAAACACAAAACAAAAACAAACAAAAACTTGGGAAACGTGCCCAAGTGTGAGTGCGCAGCTCAGTGAATTTCCTCCAGCTAAACACATCGGATCAGGAGCGGGCATGCCCCCCACCGCTTCGCCTGTGCCCACACTGTCCTCGGGCTAGGCCTTCCCAACTGCACCCTTAGCAGCTCCTCACCCCCATGGACCCCCCCCCCCCCCATCCACCCCACCCACTCCCCCAGCAGAACGAGGGTCTGCCAGGATGTGGCTTCGCTCCTCGCTTCTGCTTCAGGAGGGCTCCAGCAAGGGCAGTAGTGCCCGCAGCTGCCTCTCCCGCTCCGCTCCCTAGTGCTGCTTCACCTGAGTGCCAAGTGTCCCATCACCAGGCGTCTGTTTTGTCAGGACCCCTCTTCCCCATGTCTTCTTGAGCCTGAGGACCCCCCTTCCCCATGTCTTTGCACCTCAGCAGCCCTCACCCCACATGGACCACCCTGCATCCACCCTTGACTCCACTCCCCAGCAGAACGAGGGTCTGCCAGGATGTGGCTTCGCCTCGCCTCTGCTTCAGGAGGGCTCTGCAAGGGCAGTAGTGCCGCAGCTGCCTTCTCCCGCCTCGCTCCCTAGTGCTGCTTCACCTGGAGTGCCAAGTGTCCCATCACCAGGCGTCTGTTTTGCCAGACCCTCTTCCCCATGGGCTCCTTGAGCCTGAGGACCCCCTTCCCCATGTCTTCTTTGAGCCTGAGGACCTCTTCCCATGTCTTCTTGAGCCTGAGGACCCTTCCCATGTCTTCTTGAGCCTGGAGGACCCTCTTCCCCATGTCTTCTTGAGCCTGGAGGACCCCCTTCCCCATGTCTTCTTGGAGCCTGAGGACCTCTCTTCTTCCCCATGTCTTCTTGGAGCCTGAGGACCCTCTTCCCCATGTCTTCTTGAGCCTGAGGACCTCTCTTCCCCGTGTCTCTGGAGCCCTGAGACCCTCCCGTGTCTTCTTGAGCCCTGAGGACCCTCTTCCCGTGGTCTCTTGAGCCTGGAGGACCTCTTCTCGTGTCTTCTTGGAGCCTGGAGGACCTCTTCCCCGTGTCTTCTTGAGCCTGGAGGGACCCTCTTCCCGTGTCTTCTTGAGCCTGAGGACCTCTCTCCCGTGTCTCTTGGAGCCTGAGGACCCTCTTCCTGGTGGTCTTCTTGAGCTCTGAGGACTTCTCTTCGTGTCTTCTTGAGCCTGAGGACCCCTCTTCCCCGTGTCTTCTTGAGCCTGAGGACCCCTCTTCCTCGTGTCTTCTTGAGCTTCCCCCCCAGTCCCTGATGCCCACAGGATCATGACCCCGCCAGGGTCAGGGGTTCTGGAATTCACTTCTGTACCCCTAAAGCCCAGGCCCTGCCTGCTGTGTTGATGCCCTCCAGTCATCTCAGATGGATGAGGCGGGTATGCCGGGTGGACTCTGCCGGGAACAGGCAGGGGCATTCCTGGCCTGATGCCCACGGCAAAGGTGTGGTGGAGCGTGGGACCCATGGGGCAGGGCCCAGCCAGCCAGTGGGGAGCCAGGACTCTGCAGGCTCAGCGGCGAGGCCAGGCTGTTCTCAGAACGGCTGTGGTTTCACAAGCACTGAGCAGAGCCTGTGCTTGCTTCCAGATCTCCATTACAAGCTCATAATGAATCAGACATCACAGAAGAAAGGTGAGAACTGGGCCCTTCAGTGCCTGAGGGGATGCTCCTGCCACCCAGGGAAGTGCCTGCAGACTGTCCTTGCCCACCTGGCTGCACTTGCCCCTGTATGCCAACCCAGTGGGGACAGGTTCTGGGGTACCTGGACAGATGCCGCTACCTCTAGCCGTGGCTGGATGGTGTTATGCAGCCAAACACAGCTCGTGCTGCTCTCAGTAAGCCCAGGGCCTGAGATCATCGCAGTGGGGAGTGGGCACAGGGTGCACTCCAGACCCTCCCTCCTCCAAGCAGAGCTGAAATGGGAGGGACCCCCTGAGACAGCCCTTGCCCTGCTAGGTCTTTAGCTCAGATTACTGCTGTGGCCAGGCCCAGGATTTCCAGTCCTGTGACTCTGAGTCCTGACATCCTGTGGGAGGGGCTCTGGACACACTCCATCCAGGGATCCCTTCCTGCCGCCTGGGCAGCAACCATGGGGACAAAGGGAGGAAGCAGAGTCCTGTTTCCTTGCCACTTGTCCAAGGCACTTCCCATCCCAACAGTGGCCCCACCCAGCCCAGGATTCTGGGTTGTGGTCTCGAGTACACTCCTGGTTATTTTTGGGACTGGGGATGACACCAGGACATGTGACTGGTGGATGGAACCAGCCTGGGAACATCACAGCTGGGGCAGTGCCTAGGGCTCCCCCTTCCCAGGCAGACACGGAGAATGGGGCCGAGGGAGGGCCCTTCCCTAGCCGCTGCAGCAACTCCAGTGAGCTGTTCTGGGCAAAGTGCGGCCCAGCCAGCAGCCTCAGCCCTGTGGTGCCGGGGGCCGTGACGGGACACAGGAAGGGGACACAGGAAGAGGCCATGCTCTCCCTCGGGACCTGCTGTTCCATGTGTCCCAAGCCCTCCGGCTTTCCAGACGGCCCCTCAGGAAACCACCTTTCCGGGGCCTCTGCTCCCTTGGGTGCGTGCTGGGTCTGCGTCTGTGGAGTGTGGGTAGAGCCGGGAGGACACAGCCCTGCCAGGCTGAAGGAGGGCCCCTCACGGACACACAGGCCAGGAGGCAAGCACGGGCGTCTTGCGGGTGGCAGCACCGACGCTGTGCTCTCCTGCAGACAGCCTCTCCACGTCCAGCTTCCCGTCTGTCAAGTCCATCTCTAACTCAGGTGAGCAGGCTGGCGTCCACGCGCTCACAGGGGTGAGTGTCCCACGGGGACCCCAGCCTGGGTGGCCACTAGGGGTGCTGCCCAGGCCCCCTCTGCTGGGCCAAGCTCAAGGATTTGGGGGTGAAGGGGCAGCGGAAAAGAGCCCTGCGAGTTGAAGCCACCAGGAGGGGATTAAGCGGGGGTGGGCAGGACCGGGGGCCAGACACAGGGCAGTAAGGCCTCACGGCAGGCACCCCAGGCGAGGCAGCAGGCAGGCCGGAGGGGCTTCCCCGGGTGGCCTTCTAGGGAGGATGTACCCTGGCTGCCCAGCAGGAGCCCTGCTTGGCCGTATTCCTGCCACAAGAAGGCAGGACACAGGAAGGATGGCACTGCCCACAGAGCCCTGGGCTCATGGCACCTTCTGCAAAGTGAACCGGGAGCAGAGAGCCTCTTTTCCCCACTGTGCCTCCGCTGGAGGCCAGATGAACCCAGGCGCTAGATGGGCCTTGTCCTTGCCGAGGAAACCCACGCAGGCTGGGCCCAAGCCTCTCGTGCGGTTTCATGTTACCCAAAATGGGGCCAGCCTCCACTATCTTGGTTGTTCTAGTGTTCACAGGCACCACCCATGGGCTTCACCCTCAGCAGCTCATTGATTCCCCCCAGCACCGTCCAAGGCAGGCTCCCTTTACAGAGGAGGAAACTGAGGCAGGGGCAGGGGCTTCTTGGGTACACACAGCTGATCCTGGAAAACTTGGGCAGTGACTGTTGGTGCCTGCAGTGACCGGCCTTGTAGGGTCTGACTTGCAGCCAACTCTCAAGGCCAGGCCAGGCCCCAGCCCGGCTCCTTCAACAAGCAAGATTCGAAAGCTGACGCCCCCCAGAAGGCAGACCTGGAAGAGGAGCCCCTACTTCACAACAGCAAGCTAGACAAGGTTCCTGGGGTGCAGGGGCAGGCCAGGTAAGGCTTGGGTGTTCGGGGGTGCAAGGGCAGGCCAGGTAAGGCTTGGGTGTTCGGGGGTGCAAGGGCAGGCCAGGTAAGGCTTGCCTGCACCCGAAGGGCCCCGTGACTACATTTATGAGGCTCGCGCCCTGCAGTCAGCCAGCTGCTCTGCCCCTAGCTCCAGGGGCCTGTCTCCAGGACTCATGACAGCGGATGGCGGCCACGCTGTACCCATCGGTGGGCGCTGTCTTCCTCCCTCCCCCGGCGGTCCTGTGCTGACCTGAGCCCACAAGAGGGGCCAGTAGCAGCCGCCAAACCACTTTCTCAGAGAAAAGTAATGTTCTCACCAAGAAAAGTGAGTTGCGCTCCTGCTGCCCCTTGGCCACAGCCTGCCTTTAGAGGGCACTAGGCCAGCAGGACAGAGCAGGACCAGGTTCTGATGATCCCTGAGTTTCTGGGACCGCCCTGGGATGCTAGAGTGCACACTTTAGCAGCGCAACCAGCAGGACAGGCTCCTGCGTCTCTGCACAGCCCGAGACCAGGCCTGGAGCAAGATGCCCCGCTGGGTGTGGGGTCACGACCAAGAGCAGCCTGGCAGCTAGCTGGTTACCCACTGAAGCCCATCTGACCCTTAGGGCACCTTCAGAGGGGAGAAAGGGACAGGCCGCAGTCCCAGAGACCCCCACCTGGTGCCCAGAGCACCCTGCCGAGTGGGAGAAGGGAACCAGGCCCTCTTCCCCACATGGGCCTGGACGCTGCCTGGGGAGGTACGCTGGGGGAGTGGTTAGACACACGTGGGCAGGTCACCTCTGGCTGTTGCAATGACTCTTTCAGAAAGGAGAAAGCAGAGGCCTCTACCGCAGGCGCGGCCTGTATGGGGAGCAGCCAGCACCAGGGCAGGCAGATGATGGGGGCGGGGGCACACCCCCCAATGAGCCTGCCCCTTCACCTGCGAAAACCCACCACACTGAAGCAGTGCGAAGTGCTCATCCGCGAACTGTGGAACACCAACCTCCTGCAGACCCAGGAGGTGAGGCCCTGGGTGGTAGGGTTGGCCCTGCGCGGTCTGGCACTGCCACAGGCCCCACCACGCCCCTGCCCCTGCCTTTCAGCTGCAGCACCTCAGGTCCCTCCTGGAAAGGAGCCAGAGGCCCCAGGCGGCCCCAGAGGAGGCTGGGTCCAGCTCTCCCAGGTGAGTGCCTGGTGCACCCCTGCCCCACCCCCGGGCACCTGTCCACAGCTCACTGCGGACTCTTCCTTCACCCAGGGACCAGGAAGCCATGCATTTTCCTAAGGTCTCCACTAAGGGCCTCTCGAAGAAATGGTGAGTCCCATGGGCATGGGGACAGTGGGGCAGCCCTGCAGCCTGGGCCCCAGGGAGGGAGTGGGGAAGGGACGGTGGCGGTGCAGAAGCAGAGCACGCAGAGGCCTCTCTAGGTCCCGGTGAGGGCCGTGCAGGCCCCACTCCAACACCACTCCACTCCCAGGGATGCCCACAGTGACAGTCCCTGTACCCGCCCCCAGCCTGCTTCTGAGCCCCCCTGTGGCGCAGCGTGCCGTCCTGCCTGCCCTGAAGCAGACCCCGAAGAACAACTTTGCCGAGAGGCAGAAGAGGCTGAAAGCAATGCAGACACGGCGCCTGCGCCGCTCAGTGCTTTGAGCCTCCCACATCTGGTCAGTGCCAGGCCCACCGACCTGCAGCTGGAGACTGGTTCTCTATAGCATTTCCTGGTACTTCACTACTTTTAGGCCTGGCTGAATTCCAAGATAGATGACACTTAAAATAGATAAAGTACTTGATCTCTAAACTAACCATTTATTTTCTGTTATTTTGCTATTTAGCATTTACATAAAAAGCACATGATGAAGTAGGTATCGCTTTACCTGTTGAAACTGAAAATAAAGCTTCTTTACTTCCAAGTTGTATGCCTGGTTCCTCACTGGCTATCAGGCGTCGTGTCCCTTCCCATTCCCAGCCCCTGGCTCCTAGCCCAGCCCCTGCTCTCTGCAGAGACCTGCCTGGGCAGCCCAGTCTTGCTCATCCTGGGACCTGCCAGCGGCCCTGGGAGAGGCGCATTGGCAGAGCCGTGCACATCCTCCCTGGAGGTAGGAGGGCATTTCTGGTCCCCTGGCTGGGCTGGAGCTGCGTTCCAAACCCATGATCACTCTGGTCTCCTGCCCAGACTCCACGCTCCTGGGGGCGAGAGGCCGTCCTCTCCTGCCCTGACACAGCACCACAAAGAGGTCCAGCCAGGCGGGCCTCCTCCTTGGAGAGCCGTCTCCAGAACAGTGTGGACATGCCCGCACCACCCCTTCCACCACAGCACAGCCATGTCGTCGGGAGTGGGGTGGCCAGCTTAGCGCCCACCCTCACCCAGCCACAGTCTTCCCAAGCCCATGGCCCCACTTCCTTGGCTTTAATCTCAGCCTCTCCCTGCTTCAGGGAGCAGGAACTTTGCCAGGAAGCTGGGGGATGAACCAGGCCAAGGAATGGGATGGTGTGTTAGAAAGGAGAGCTGAGGCTCGGGGCCAGAGTGGACAGTGCCGGCCCCAAGGCTGACAGCATCCTGACAGGACAGCAGGCCCAGGTTCATGGAGAGGGGGACACAGTGACAACTCCTGACACACACAGGAGTCACAAGATTATAACAATCACAGATGATGGGGTAGTTCGCATAAAAAGGGAGGACCTGATCACCAAAGGGCTGCTGGCCGGTGCCCAGGTGAGCGGGCAACACAGGGAGGCACTCGCTGCATGGGGGCCCCGCCCACTGCCAGGCTCTCTCTGGGTGGTGCAGCACGTGGTGTTCTGAGGACGCGGGTCCTGAGGGCCTCGCTCTTCATCCATCACAATGGGGACACGGCCCTTACACAAGTGGCACAGGGGTGCTGGCAGCACGATCCCTGATGGCCCTGCTCCCTGGGGGCCCACAGTGCCCAGCAGGAATTGCCACAAGGGCCGAAGCCCAGCTGGTGCCAGGGAGCTGGCAGCAGCCATTGGCCAGCCCTGCCTCCGACAGGCAGCCTGTGCCCTGGACTCAGGGGCTTCTCCAGGGGGTGCCCCACTTGCCCAAAGCAGTGCAGCCTGAACCCCAAACTGTGAGCAGAGAATCCCATGTGTGTTTGAAGGGCTTCCTATGTCCTCTGTGTTCTCCTATAGAAAGGAGCAGGGGTGTGTCGAGCACACACAAGACGCTCTAACACCCTGAGCGCACCCTGATGCTGCTGAGACAGACCCGGATCCTGGACAGGCCGCGGTGAGAGCAGCCCGAGGACGGTGGCTGGGGACCGTGTCCGGCTTTGTGGAGGAAGTCACATGGAACACCTTCTCCAAGACGACGGCCATCGCCCTGCAGGCAGCCCGCTCCACCGCGCCCGTCTCAGTCTGTGCAAGTGTGGGATTTCACTTGGCAGATCCCCAAGGCAGAAGAGAAAAGGAGGAAAGTTAACCTAACTCCAGGCTCTCCATGGAAGCCAACACCTAGAAGTGTCTGACAGGAGGCGTGTGTCCTTGGCCCCGATGAGGCTGCGGGCCATCCCTGCAGTCCTGGCTAGGTAGCCGGGAGGCAGGCCTGGTGGGTGCTCCGGGCACAGGTGTTGAGCAAGGTGGTAACTGAGCGCTTGTCCGGGAGCTGTGGCAGCCTGGAGGTCACGCAGTGGTGCACCGACCTGAGGAAGGGCTTGGTGCCTGCAACAGAACAGTGGACGTGAGCCTGAGGCAGTCGGCACCGCACCCAGGCCCTGCACACCCGCCCTGCAAGCAGGATTGGCTGAAACACCAGGAGCCGCCCTGCACGCTGCCTGCCTGGCTGTAGGGCTCTCCTCCCAGAGCCTCATCATCAGTGAAGAACTGAATCTGAATAGAATTTGGAGCCCAGGGCTTTGCCTCTGACAATCTTGGGGACCTAGCCCTGGCTCTGCTGTATGCCAGCTCTGGGCTCAGGGAGACTGATCCCTGTCAACGTGGCTCTCTGGTGCCATGTCACCTAGATGGGGCCCTGTGTGCCCAAGCTACTAGTAGGACACGTCAGCTGTGCTGAGCTCCCTAGTGGGCTCTGGGAAGAGCAGGGTCTGTCCTTGAGCCGCAGCTTTCTCACCCCTCAGCCACTGAACACAGCCACCCTGGACAGCTGACCTGACACAAGATGAAGGGGCAAAACGACACAGGAGAGAACAGAGACCCTCTCTCTCTGGTGGACAACCTGCTCCTGTCAGCACACGGCGAGCCAGAAAGGGGATGGAAGGGCCTGAGCTGGGAGGGGCTGGAGTGCACAGAGGCTGTCCCTGCTGCACAGGGAGCCTGGTTTTCCCGAACGACCCCTGCCTGCCCTGAGCCCCCAGACAGCTCCTCTGGGTCTGCCCACTGTACAGCCACTGTCGGTCCATCCATCGCGGACTCTGGGCACGGCAGTCGGTGGGCACGTGGTGGCACACTTGGGAGGTCCTTGTCGTCTGCAACACACGAGGCTGTACCTGTGACTGGACAAGCCCCGGCCTGCCCTGCCTTACAACTCTGCTTCCGAACAGGACTCTTCACACCCGAGGAGGTTCTGGTGAGGCTTGTGGCAAAGCCTGGAGGTCTCTCTGACTCTCAGATTTCCAAACCTGAAGCCCGGAGTGCCCTGCATTGATGGGTACCCACAGGTCCTGCCCACCACCTCCCTAGGGCCACAGGCAAGCAGAGCCACATCTGTGTTGGGGAGATGAGGGTGCGTGGGCTCTGGCGGCGGGGGCAGGGACACGGCTAGTCTGTCCTGGGCTCGGTGTATGTGAAGACAGGGCAGCCAGCCTGCGGAGCGTGAACACAGGGCGGGGTCTGGGCACGGTGCCCTCTGGCTCAAACGGCAGAGGCCTGGGGCTGTGGTCAAGGTTTGCTAACCAGCGCCAGCCTGACGCTTCTGGACACTCGCCCAACTTGCAGATCAAGTGGACGGCGCCATTGTAGCTGCAGTGAGAAGGGTCCAGGTTTATCATGCACTTGGGGTCCAGCCTGGCCACCTTGCCTTGCAGCACGCTGGGGGTGCTCTGCCGCTGGTCGTCCTCAAGCCTATGCTTCTGGGTGCATACCACGGGACCTTGAGAAGGCAGCATGGTGACCACACTGGGCACATATGGCCCAGGGCTGGCCAGCCGCCCTCCACAAAGCCCAGCCCAGCTGGATGTACGTGATGAGTGGGCCGTGGATGACAGTCTTGGCTGAAGCAAATGCGCGGGGAATGGCTGAAGACAGGTGAGCGGATGTTGGCCAGGATGGCATCCAGGAGCTGCTGGCACAGGTGCTGCTGTTTGGTCAGCGGCACCGGGGCAGTGGGTTGGAGGCAAGATGGGCATGGTCAGCAGCCCAGGACCTGAGGGTTCTCCATTTAGGGGGCCTTCCCACCCCAGGCCCGTCCTCACTCACAGCCTGATTCCCAAGGCCGGCCTCTCAGCCTCCACCCTTGTGCAGACAATGTTGGCCGATCCTGGGTGTAATCCCCCACCCCCACAGCCCCTGACTCCTCTGGGCCGGGTGGCAGAGGCACCCATGGGGGCCGCAGACAGATGGGGACTTCTCCCATGTTCCCACCCAGCACAGCAAACCTGGCCCGGAAGAGGCCTGGTGGGCAGGGTCTCAGGTCAGGCCCAGCCCCCACCCAGCCGCCCTGACCTGGAAGGACCCTCCTGCGGTGCTTCCAGGAGCTCTTGGGGGAGCCAAAGTTCCCCTAGGGGTCCCCAGCATCCCACTCACCACTGCCATGTCATTCTTGAGTTTCTCCAGGGTGATGTCACACTTTGGCAAGGTCTTCAGGGGACCTGCAGAGAGAGGGAACTTAGGCTGAGCTCCGTGCTGGAGGGCTGGGAGACATGGCTGGTCTCAGGCTCAGATGTGGGATCCCAACCACCGCCACAGGAGCTCCCTTCAGCTGACCAGTTGTTCCCAGACCCAGAGTCTAGGCAGGCGGCCCTCACCCTCAGGAGCTGCCCATCCCTGTTGGCAGTGAGGCAATGGGTCAAGAGAAGGGACAGTGGCCAGGCCCCTGACCAGGCTGGGAAGGCCTCAGTCACATCTAGGCCAATCCCTGTCCCACCCAGTCCTATAACCCTAAGGATCAACTCAGGGAGGCCCGGAGGACCGCCCAATAGTGACTGGCACTCTATCCAGACAAGCAGAACAGAGAGACGCTTCTAGATGGGGGTGCGGGGACAGCCTGAGTTTAGATGAGAGGGAGGTACAGGCCAATGCCCATGCAGTTCTGAGGTGCTGCCTGAGCTCACAGCAGCCTGTGGCCAGTGGCCCTGCCTTCCGCCTGCTTCTCACCAGCACTGTCTTGTTTCATTTTCATGACAGCACACATGGGCTGCAAATGGGGTAACTGAGATGCAGCTGCCTGCCCACAGTCACTGGGAAGTCAGGGGCAGAACTCCAGGTCAGGTTCAGGCCCATCACAGCCAGCTGATGGTCAGGCCACTGCAAGCTGGGCCCCCAGCTACTGGCTGGATGAGGCCTGGCTGTGATGGGCCAGCATGAGGGCCACAGCAGTGGTCAGGAGTAGGGCAAAGGCTGGGCACTGGCCAAGATGAAGCCTGGACTCAAAGGCCCAGCACACACGAGTGGAGCCTTGGAGGCCTCTGTCCAGGGCCCAAAGAGCTGCCTGGTGCCTTTGCTAAACCCACATCACCACCAAGTGCCCGTCCACAGCTGGGCCACCCCTGCCCTTGGGGACCGTCCGTGGGCTGTAGGCAAAGTTCACAGCTTAGAGAGGCCTGTCGCAATGTCTAGATGGCTCTTCATCTTGCTCAGGTCCTTTTTTCTGTCTGGGACAGCAGAGGGGACACTAAGACACGAGCCCAGTGGCATCCCCAGGGCGCTGGCCCCCACCCCGGCCGCAGCCCACCTTCGTTCTTGTCAATCTTGTTGACCATGCGGTGCGGGGGACTGATGCGCTTGGACAGCTGCTTCAGCGTGTCCAGGTACTGCTGCTCCTCGCCCGGCTCGAGCCGGCTGGACTCATGACAGAGGTCACTGCAGGACTATGGGCAGGTGAGGCCACGGCCCTAGACCCTCAGGCGGGGAGCTTGGGCTCTGAGGGCCCCAGAGCTCGCACACCCGGTATAAGCTGAGGCCTCGTAAAGGTGAGGGGCGACCTTAGCACCTCGACCCGCCAGGCTGTGTACAGCTCACATTATGGAGCTGTGGGTCCCGGGCCCGACTTACCAGGTGTGTGTAAAAGTCTAGGGGAGGGGACGCTAGAGTTCTGTGCGGTGTGGGACTGGGCAGGAAGCTACGGGGGACGGAGAAGGGCTGGAGCTGCAGCCAAGCGGGAGAAATATGGGTGCCAGGCCCAGGCAGGACAGCCACTGAACTCACTGTGCAACAAACCACAGTGGTGACCGCTCCCCATCCTCCTTCCCGTGCCAGCTGGGCGGGGATCTCACCCAAAACAAGGGGTTGGGAAACAGGCAAGACCAGCACCCCGAGCACAGGCTCAGCATGGGCCAAGAGCACACACAGCTGGCGGACGTCCTGCTTCTGGAAGGTGATGGGATGCCAGCGAGATTACAGTGGACACTTCCTTCAGCTAGAAGCCTAACGAGCATACTAGCTGGATCTGCACCAGCTGAAAACACCGGCTGCTGAGTCCAGGAGTTTGAGACCAGCCTGGGCCACCTAGGGAGACCTTGTCTCTACCAAAAAAAAAATAAGAAAAAGAAAAAGCTGTTTCATGGCTGTTCACTTTCAAAATACCAAGAAAAGGAAAGAAAACGGAAGTTTGGCCGGGCACAGGGGCTCATGCTTCTAACCCCAGTACTTTGGGAGGCCAAGGCAGATGGATCAGTTGAGGTCAAGGGTTAAAGACTAGGCTGGGTGCGGTGGCTCACGCCTGTAATCCCAGCACTTTGGGAGGCCGAGGCGGGCGGATCACAAGGTCAGGAGTTCAAGACCATCCTAGCTAACACGGTGAAACCCCGTGTCTACTAAAAATACAAAAAATTAGCCGGGTGTGGTGGCGGGCGCCTGTAATCCCAGCTACTCGGGAGGCTGAGGCAGGAGAAAGGCGTGAACCCGGGAGGTGTAGGTTGCAGTGAGCCGAGATCGCACCACTCACTGCACTCCAGCCTGGGTGACAGAGCGAGACTCCGTCTCAGAAGAAAAAAAAAAAAGAAGAGTTAAAGACTAGGTTGGCCTGTCTCTACTAAAAATACAAAAGAAAAATTAGCTGGGCATAGTGGCACGTGCCTGTAGTCCCAGCTACTTGGGAGGCTATGGCAGGAGAATCTCTTGAGCCCTGGAGGTGGAGCTTGCAGTGAGCCAAGATCACACCACTGTACTCCAGCCTGGGCAACAGAGTGAGACTCTGTATTAAAAAAAAAAAAAAAAGAAAAAGAAAGAAAGAAAAAGAGCAGTTCTCATTTTCCTACTGGGCTGAACCTGCAGTGTTTCGATGAAGTGACGTCCTGGACAGGGCAGGGACGGTCCGAAGAGGCAAGAGCAGCAGCTTCCACTGGCTGGGCAGTCACTACGCACCACCGCCAGGCTGGCTGTCCACACACGCCACGTCCTTCCTCTGCAGGAGACACCAGGGCAAGGCAGCCCCCCAGCAGGCCTGAGGACACGTGGAGACACACAGGTAGGCGTGGCAGAGAGGCTCCAACCTTATCACACAAAGTGGGCAGCTTCCCCCAGCTGTAAGTAAATGTGAATTCCGTGGTGTGTTTCACACAAGACTCCAAGTAAGAAGGTGATGGGCAGGCGCGGTGGCTCATGCCTGTAATCCCAGCACTTTGGGAAGCGGAGGAGGGCAGATCACCTGAGGTCAGGAGTTTGAGACCAGCCTGGCAAACATGGTGAAACCCCATCTCCACTAAAAATACAATAACCAGCTGGGTGTGGTGGCACGCACCTGTAATCCCAGCTACTCAGGAGGCTGAGGCAGGAGAATCACTTGAAACTGGGAGGCAGAGGTTGCAGTTAGCAGAGATGTTGCCACTGCACTCCAGCCTGGGCAGCAGAGTAATACTCTGTCTCAAAAAGAAAATTTCAAAAAAATCTAGCCTATTTGTTTAAAGGAGATGTTAATAATTCATGCTCCCTTGAACCTCTTCAGTTTTTTGCTTTTGACAGGAAGGTTCATTAACACACACAATCAATTACTAAAAGAAATATTATCAAGCAGTAAAACCTCACATTCTATTAGCAAACAAAAAAATTCAACTTAACACTATCATTCTCAAACTCAAATATCCAGAAGTCAATTTAAGTAATTCATGTCTCCTTGGCAAGAGTGTATGGATGATACCTTTTCCTGGTGATAGTAAAATCTATTCATTTTCTTACCTCACCCAGTATCAGCTTTTATACTTTTACTGATAAAGCCCACAATACACATACTGTATAGAAATCTTGAGCTCTTAATTAAAAGGAACACACAGAGTTATATCTAAATCATTTGCTACAATGATCTAAACCCACTTTATTTACATCTTAGTATTAATCAGAGGGCAAAAACTCTTACATTACCTTTATTTTCAAAACTGGAGCCAGTGTTGCTCTCTGGCGCAGGCAACATGTGTTCATAACCCCATGATACTATGTGTTTATCCCCAAGCAAACAGGAGGGAGATCCAGGCCCTACTTCCAAAAGCAATAGCCTAAGGGAGAGAAGGAAAATCAAAGACACCGAGATGATTCATTTTAGCAAGAATGTACCTGCCACCCCAAAGAGCAGAAACCACAATCTTAAAACTAAGATGTATAATATTTTATATGAGTATTATTCACAAAAGATATTCACCATATTTTTAAACAAAAAATTACAAAGCCATTTTTCTTAAAATGATACAATAAAATTGTATCTGTGTGTAAAATGTATCTATTTTGTGTGTGTGTGTGTGTGTGTGTGTGAGAGAGAGAGAGAGAGAGAGAGACGGAGAGTTATGAATTAGGAAGCATATGTACCAAAACATTAGGAGTAGTTATATTTGGGTAATGAGATTACGAATGATTTTCACTGTCTTCTTTATACCTTATCAATCATCAGCTCAAAATTTACAATCAGAATTCATTATCAGCTATTGTTTGTTTGTTTATTTATTTATCTGTTTTGTGAGACAACGTCTCACTCTGTCACTCACCCAGGCTGGAGAGTGCAGTCGCGCGAGCTCAACCCACTGTAACCTCGGCCTCCAAGGGTCAAGCAATCCTCCCGCCTGAGCCTCCTGGGTAGCTGGGACAAATCAAAGCTGAGTTTTCTTCAGTTCAAAACAACTTGTTACAATTACGTTGTTTAGCCTCATGGTAAGCAGAAAACAAAAATCAATAATAGACACCCTAGAATTTAAAGTAAGAAATTAAAACACACTACCAGAAAAAATTACCTCACTACAAATAAAGACAGGAAGGAAGGGAAGGAGGAAAGAAAAGAAGGAAAGAGAGCGAGAGAGATCTGAGAGAAAAGAGGAAGGGAGAAAGAACAAAAGAAAAAAGAGAGAGCAGCAAAACAACCAGAAAACCAGTAAAAAATGGCAGTAGTATGTTTTTACCTGTTAGTAATAACTTTGAATATAAATGAATTAAATTCTCCAATTAACACAGAGTGGCTGAATGGATTAAAAGACAAGACCCAATTACATACTGCCTACAAGAAACTCAGTTCACCTATACGCATACATAGACTGAAAGTGAAGAGGTGATAAAAGATATCCCATACCAGTGGAAACAAAAAAACCAGAAGTAGCTGTACGTAGATTATATGTACTTTCAGTCAAAAAAAGAAAAAAATGAGATAATTATAAAATGAGAAAGAAGTAAACAGCAGCATAACAATTGCAAGTGCATATGCAACCGGCACTCAAGCAACTAAATACAGAAGCAAATATTAACAGACCTTAAAGGACAGATGGACGGCAATACAGTAACAGAATACCTCAACACTCCACTATAATCAACACCCCACTATCCTCAATGGACAGATCATCTAGACAACAAAACACCATCAGTTAAACTGTACTCTATACCAAATGGACCTAACACTTACACAGCTTTCCACTCCACAACTGCACAATGCACATTCCACTGAATAGTATATGGATTATTCTCCAGGATAGACTATGCGTTAGGCCAAAAAACAAGTCACAACACATTTTTAAAAACTGAAATCATATCAAGTATCTTTCCTGACCACAGTGGAATAGTACTAGAAATCAGTAGCAGGAGGAAAAACTCTACAAATATATGGAAATTAAAATACATGCTCATGAACAACCAATAAATAAAAAATTTATTGAAAAAAGAATAGAAACACAACATAACAAATCCTGTGGGATGCAGCAAAAGCAGTTGTAAGAGGAAAAGGGCATAGCTATAAACGCCTACATCAGAAAAGTAGAAAGATCTCAAATAGCCAACCTGACAGTCCACCTCAAGTAATGAGAAAAACGAGAAAAATAAAATGCTAAAATTAGTAGAAAGAATATCATAAAGATTAGAGAAGAAATTTTAAAAACAGAAACAAAAAGTACAAAAAGTCAATGGAACAAAGAGCTGGATCTTTCAGAAAAAAATCAAAATTGACAAGCTTTAATTAGTCTAAGGAAAAGAAAAAGAAAAAATCATAGATGAAAAAGGAGACATTACAATTGATCACACAGAAACATGAAGGATTCGAAGAGAAGACTAAAGACACCTATGTAAAAACAAGTTGAAAAATCTAGGAGAAGTGAATAAATTTCTGGACACATAACAAATTCCCAAGATAGAATGATAAATAAAAAACCTGAGGCTGGGCACAGTGGCTCACGCCTGTAATCCCAGCACTTTGGGAGACTGAGGCGGGTGAATCACAAGGTCAGGAGATTGAGACCATCCTGGCTAACACGGTGAAACCCCCTCTCTACTAAAAATACAAAAAATTAGCCGGGCGTGGTGGCGGGCACCTGTAGTCGCAGCTAATTGGGAGACTGAGGCAGGAGAATGGTGTGAACCCAGGAGGCGGAGCTTGCAGTGAGCTGAGACCATGCCACTGCCCTCTAGCCTGGGCGACAGAGCAAGACTCCATATCAAACAAACAAACAAACAAAAAACAACCTGAACAGACCAATAATGAGTAATGTAATTAAAGCAGTAATAAAAAGTCTTCCGTCAAACAAAACACAATCATGGTTTTACTGCTGAATTTTACCAAACATTTTAAAAAGAGCTAATACCAATTTTACTCAAAATATTCCCCAAAAAAATGAACAGAAAGGAAATCTTCAAAACTTGTTCTATGAGGACAGCATGACCCTGGTACAAAAACCGGACCAGGAAATAACACAAAAAGAAAACCACAGGCATTTTAAATATCCCTGATGAACACAGATGCAAAAAAATCCTCAGCAAAATACTTGAAAATTGCATTTGACAACACAATAAAAAAATGATCTGCCCTGATCAAGTGGGATTCATCCCAGGAATATGAGGATGATTCAATAAAACACAAATAATTAAATGTGCGACATCACATTCAGCGAATCAAGAGCAAAAACCATATAATCATTTCAGCAGATGCGGAAAAAAATAAAAATCAACATTCCTTCATGACCAAACCCGAACAACATAAGTACAGAAGGAACATATCTCGCGCAATAAAGGCCATATATGACAAACCCACAGCTAACATCGTAATCCACGGGGAAAGGTTAAAAGTGCTTCCTTTAAGACCCGGAACAAGTGTGGCTACTTTTACACCACTTTTATTCATCACAGTACCGGAAGTCCTAGGTAGGGCAATTAGACAGGAGAATGAAATAAAAGGCATCCAAACTGGAAAAAAGGAAGTCAAACCATCTCTGTTTGCAGGTGACATGATCATGTGCACATATATATACACACATATATATAATCGTAAAGATTCCACAAAATCACCTACTAGAAATAATTTAGTCAAGTTGCAAGATACAATATCAACATATAAAAATGAGTAGCACACCCATGTACCAATAGTGAAATATCTAAGAAAGAAATCAAGAAAGCGATTTCATTACCAAAAAAATTATATTTAGGGATAAACTTAACCAAAGACAAAAGATCCCACAATGAAAACTATAAAACATAGATGAAAGCTATTAAAGCAGACACAAGTAAATGGAAAGATATCCCGTGCCCATGCACTAGAAGAATATTCATAAAATATCTGTATCACCTAATGTGATCTACAGAATCAATGCAATCCATGTTAAATTACAAAAGACATTCTTCATAGAAATAGAAAAAAAAATCCTAAAATTCACATGGAAATGCAAAATACCTCAGATAGACAAAAGAATCTGGAATAAAAAGAAAACCTGGAGGCATCACACCTAACTTCAAAACATACTACAAACCTGTAGCAAGCATGGTACTAACAAAACAGCATGGTACTATCAAAAAAAGGGGTGGGGGAGAAACAGAGAAACGAAGGAATGACAGACAGACATAGACAAGTGAAACAGAATAGAGAAATCAGAAATAAATTCACGCATTTATGGTCAACTCATTTTTAACAAAGGCATCAAGAGTACACATTTAGGAAGGACAATCTCTTCAATAAACTGTGCTTGGATAACCCAACGCCCACATATACAAGAATACATCTAGACCGTTATCTTACCATACACAAAAATCTACTCAAAATAAAGATTTAAATGTAGGACCTCAAACTATGAAACTACCAGAGAAGAAAACATAGGATAAATGCTTCACGAAATTGATTAAAACAAGGACTTTTCAGACAGACATCAAAAGCACAAGCAACAAAAGCAAAGATGTCATTATATTAAACTTATCAAAAGCACAAGCAACAAAAGCAAAGACGTAGTTACGTAAAACTTAAAAGCTTCTGCAAAGCAGAGGAAGCAATCAGTAGAATGAAGAAACAACTCAGAGAACGGAAGAAGTATCTGCAAACTGTGCATCAGCCAAGGGGTTAATACACAAAATACATAAATAACTGAAACTACTCAAAAGCAAAAATACAAATAATCTGATTTAAAAAATCTACCCCAAACCTTTGTCCCCCACCATTATTTTCCCACTTTCTTTTCTCGACCGTCTTTGCCCCCCTCCCCCTCGCCACCCTTTTTCTTCCTCCATCTACCCCAAAACATTTTCCCCAGCATTTTTTCCCCAGCATTTTTTCCCCATTTCGCAAAGCCTTCTCTACTCTCCCGCTCACCACCCTTTTCCCCATCCATCTACCCAAACACTTTCCCCAGTTTTTTCCCACCGTCTTTTCCCCTTCTCCCTGGCCACCTTCTTTTTCCCCGTCCCACTGTCATCACCCTCTTCTGCTCCTTCATCTAAGCAAAAACATTTTCCCCCGCCTTTTCCCAACGCGTTCTCCCCGATCCTGCTGCTCACCACTGTCTTTTCCCCCTACATCTACCAAAAACTTTTCCAAATTCTTTTCCTCCGCTCCTCCTTCCCTTCTCCATTTACCCGAACACATTTCCCATAGTCTTTTTGAAAGCCGTCTCCCCACTTCTACTCATCTCCCTCTTTTCCCCCTCCATCGACCCCCCAGAATTTTCCCAACCGTCTTTCACAGTCTTCCCCCCTTTCCCACTTGTCGTCTTCTTTGCCCTAGCCTGCCTGCCACTCTCTTTTCTGCCCTCCATCTACCCCAAATTATTTTCCCATTTTTTTCCCAACCCTCTTTCCCACTCCCTCTCGCCACCCTCTTTTCTCCTCCTCGACACCCTCTTTTCCCCTCCATCTACCCAAACACTTTTTACCCACCGTCTTTTCTTTCTCCACCATGTTTCTTTGCTGCCCACTATCATTTTGCAAAACCTTGTCTTCCTCCCGCTGGCTACCCACTTTTTCCTTCCCTCGCTTGTTACCCTCTTTCCCTCCCTCTATCTATCCAAAAACTTTTCTCCCCACTGTCTTTTCACAAAACCTTCTCTCCCTACTGCTCGCCCCCATTTCCCCCTCTACCACCCTCTCTTTCCTCCTCCCACCTGCCACCCTCTTTTCCAACTCCAACTACCCATAAACTTTTTTCCACCGTCTTTCTGTAAAACCTTCCCTCCCTCTGCTCCCCACCCTGTTTTCCCCTCCATCTACCCAAAAACTTTTTTCCCACCACCTTTTCCCCAGCGTCTTTTTGCAACGCGTTCTCCTGCTCGCTATCCTCTTTTCCCTTCACACTAATCACCCTCTTTACCTCCCTCCATCTATCCCAAAACTATTTTCCTGGTCTTACCGCTCCAGCCGCGCTGCC